AATATGTTATTCCAGTCACTGTTTAACATTCAGACCCGTTTATTGACGTATGAAGGCGCACCACCCTTATACTTTAGTAAATCACCATTTCAAACAATTAGTCTGAGATATTTTAGCTCCTGGTGAAACCTTTCTCCTGTCTGTATGGGACAACAACAGTTATCCAAACGGAAAACAATATGCTCAACAAAACTACTCCATAAACCATTACAGTCAAGTGAAAAAACCAGAATAAAATTCCAGTCTTGCGACATTATCATATTACAAAACATGGAGACATTACTATCCGAGAAATTTCTATGATTCGTCAAAACACTGTCTTTAGATAATACTACGCTGTTACTCTCTAAATTTACAGATAAAAGGTGAGCTAAGTGATCACTAATATGAGGATTAAAAATAACACAATTAACCATGTCACTAGGGATATTTGTAACAGCATAATCTATAATAGATTCGGTAGTATGACCGCTTGAATTAGTAACAATTCTTGTTGGCTCAATGCTATAGTTATTTTTCAGTTTTAAATGATTCAAACAGTACAAAGATACTATTTTATCTTAGAATCGATCCAAAATTAATATTTAAGTCTTCACCAAAATATTATATATTTTAACAGACAATAGAGCTGCAGAAAAAGCTCTGCTAACAGAATTTAGAAAAATGTCTACATCTCCAGAAGGAGGACGATAACAGCAAATAACTTTGTATGTATTAAAATTTATACCCGATAGTTCACTGTGACCCTCAATAGAAAATTTCTCAATGTTCTCACAGCGCACAAACATATGCGAAACCACCAAAACACGATTTAACTATATATCCATCGATGCTTATATCTACAAACGTTGACTGTAGCCAATGCTCAGTTACACACATAATATCAATATCTTCAGATATTCTTACGTTTTCAATAATATGCAATCTTATTTTAACTTATTATTAAACAAAAATAAAAAAAAAAAACTAAATTTTAATTGATTTAGCCACCATTTGGCGTCTGTTGCAGTCCTAAAAGAAGCTGCATGTCTAGAAACAGTATTACACTTGCCAACCTCAACAGCACCATTTCGCAATAGTTACATTTTTTCAAACAAAACAATAACTTTCATCAGAATTACTTATTTTATCTACATGTCCCAGACATTAATCCAGTTATATTTTCAATAGAATTGTCCTGTTTCTTCACATTGCTTCCTGTTGTGCTTTCCTTACGTGAATTTTAGTACCCACCGGCCAAAGTGTGGGTTCCAAAAATGTTTCCTTGTTGTTCTCAAGTACTCCAACCTTGAAAGAAGAATATTCTTCTGGATGCTTTGAGGGTAAAGAACTGCAAGTTACTTGAGGGAGGGAAACGATGAATTTATTAAATGGTTTTAATTGGTCTTCCGTAACTGATGGATCCAGTCGGAATACATGATAGGTAAAATAAAAGAACGAGAACCTGCTTTTGATCTTATGCACTGGCACCAGTTCCCAAACTGTCGGTTTTGGGTTTTTTTCTGCCCCAGAACGTCATATTTTATTTGTTCTCTCATTCATTTCAGTGGATTGTCGGCCCTACTACATGGTCTCGTTGGTGTTTTACGCACGATTTCTGTTTATTGTTTAACATCCATTAAACTCAATCAAATCACTATGTCTCGGTACGTTGGCGGCGACTATATTTGTATCGCGTACGACTCGACTGCTATTGCCTTTCGTCGATCCTCGGTTGCAGGACGAAGCAGCTGCCGCATACGAACCCCTCTGCGTTGGCCCTGCGGCGCTCCGCGGCAGCATAGCGCTGTCGCGCTTCGTAGGTGCGCAGCCCGAGGTGATGGTATGGGGACCCTTAGCCAAATTTATTGTTTGTATTGGCCTGTCGCACTGCCTAACCTCATTTTGGCGCTCTTCTTGGAAATTTATATTAATTACCCTATTCAAAGAGTCAATTGTTGACTGCTGTTGCAAATTAAGGCGATTCAGGTAATTAACCTCTGTAGTAGCTAATTTTAGCTCATATTTTTGTGTTATACAAGTTAATTTATGGCATACCTGTGAGGTTTCATTGGCATCGACAACGGTTATCAACGAATCGTCAAGATTTACTTTCTTCAGGGGTCTTTTCCATCTTCTTCTAGGTCTCTAAAAACTCCTCGTGGGTACAATGCTATAATTTTTGTATTTAAAATTAAAAAATAATTCAATTAAAAAAAAAAACTTTATTTCAACTTTTTTTAAGATCGTTTGTAATTTGACTGACACGTTCTTCAGACGCCATATTTTGAATTTTTTATAGTTCCTTAGTTCTAGTTCCTCCAGAGGAATAGTTCCTTGAAGTAGGTCTTTAGTTCACAATAGTTCCCGACTAACATTGGCATCCCCGTTGCTTGCTCACGGGTTTCGTTGTCAGTCAGAACTATTCACAGTATGATCTGTATAATTTTTATAATGTACGAAAAAATACATAAATAAAATACATTACATAAAATACATTACATAAAATACATTTTTAAAATCATATAGATAAGTTTTATTGCTGAAAAAAAGTTAAAAAAGAAACTCAAATCAGAGTTTAAAAAACTATATCACAAATCAGTTGGAGCAAATAGTACAAAAAGAAAATTGCATTTTTTCTACGAAAAAATCTTTCAAATTTTTCAAAATTTTCTACGAAAAAATGCAATTTTCCTCACTTCAAGTTTTTTGTTTTTGTCTAAAAATTAGACAATATAGAATATCTACTTCGTGTTATATGATATTTCTTAATTTTAGGGCCTAAAGTGAAACATTACCATAAAGTATTCAAAGAACAAACTAAAAATCAAAAACAGTATCCACGACAATTTTCTGTGATAATTACGCCGGCTGCGGCTGTGGCAATAAACAAGGCCGAATCCATCGTCGTCGCCTTGTATTATATCTCGGATCTGCCGACTGAATAGATTCCCGTGAACTACTCTTTTGATTAGTTCCTCTAGGTCCGAATCCCATAACATATGGCTGGCACTCCCCATTCCTGCCTAGCATCGATCGCGCTGACCTATCCGTACGTAAACTAGTCTTTTATTTAGTTCCTCTAGGTCCGGATCCGAGAACATACGGCTGGCACTCCCCACTCCTGCCTAGCATTGCGCTGGCCGATCCGTTGCTGTCGCATATTATTTTATATCGGTCACCGTCTCGATCCCGGAATAAGTCCTGAGGAAGTATTTCTTTGAGAAACCGGGAACTAGTTCCTTTCATTCCGGGGTCGGACTAGTTCATTGGATTTAGTTCGTTCAGGAACCACACTCCTCTACTAACTCTTACGTGCCATAGCCGTGAATCACTCTGTATTTAGGGTAAGCCAAAAAAACTAACTTATGGAATTTATGGGTTAAAATGAACCTAATAACCGAGAAAAAATATCCCCGGAAGGCAGGATTTTTAGCTGAATTTTAAAAGGTGTTGGTGAACATTCAAAGTTTTCCATTTAAAAAACACGTCAAAAAATCTTTTTCTATTAAAAGTACCATAACTTTGAAACGGTTTACGATATTTTTTTTACATCGCGGATTCTTGCTCGCAGTGGCCGTCCGCCTTTAAGGCAGGCGGCCACTGCGAGCGTAACTAAACTAAGCTAAGAATATGAAAACAAACGGTAACTAAACCAAAATAAGTTTCATCGGCCACTGGGAACGTTAGCTGCGTTTTCGTATTGTATCTCTGCTATCATAGAACTAATTGCTGCGAAAAATTCGCTTGAACCTGTCACGAATAAAACGAGCGAAACTAAAAGTATGGGAGCTGATTTTTACAAATCTTATCTTCGCTTGGCTTAGTTTAGTTTCGCTCGCAGTGGCCGCCCGCCTTTAAGCAGGCAGTATTGGCATATTTTGGGGATAATATAAGAAATTCAAATAATTCGTTTTCTGACAGATGGAAATAAATTGTCTGACTGTTTGACCAAAGAATATACCTAAAAAGTGGGTTTCCATTTTGAAAAAAAATGATTTATGATAATTTCTTAATCACTCAATTCCATGATAGCTACCGCCATTATTATATGACATTTGAACAATTTAATTTTTGAAATAGATAGCCACATCTCTTTTCTTTATGTCACAGTAGTTGTAGTAATCACTAAATTTGACTTTTAGGCTATACACATTTTTTTGACAGGCAGTTTTTTTTTCGTCCAAAATTTATAAATATTTTTTTCTCTAAAACGGGTAATAGTTAGTAGAGTATTTAATATCAAAATTAATAAGATTTTGCAGAGGATTTACTTATGTAATAAAAAATGGGAGCACCCACAGAATAAGAAAGTTGCTGTAACCAGATCGCGTTAAAAAAATGATGTGCAAAAAATCTCCGATCTAGATATTGTGATTCTCTAGAAACTTCTAATGCACGCTTAGCCTGGGACGCCCTGTATCATAGACTTAAAATAAAATATAGACTGAGCATGTCATTCATAAATAGCTGGAAAATGCGGTCAGATGATGTCTTGTTATTGTTTTAGGCTCTAACTAAAAAAAGTTTCTAATAATTTTTAAGTTATCTATGGATGCGTTTAAATATAAATCCGTCATGCGTCGTGTCTTGTTGTTTTTAACCAGTTTTATTGGTTTATTTAAAAAATGACAGATCGTATTTCAATTTTATTGGTTTGACGGAATGATGCACGACAAACGGACGCCGATGCGTATGAACTCGCCTTTAGATTTTTGTCATTTTTGACGCTTGTCAAAGTCTTGCCAAATTATAGGTTATAATTTTGTGTCAACTTTTGTTAAGTACCCTGCGTTTTGGAAGATGATGCATTTTGATTCGTATTATTACGTGTGTTTTGTGTCTTTTGAAGTCAAGTGGAGGAAAAATCGACTGAAAATTAACTGTAGACCCAGAGCACAGTTTATGGTTAATACTCGCTGCCCAGGCAGAAAGTCTTATACACCAATGAAGTTGTCATCGATAAAGTTTGTATACCATTTCGTCGTAGATAAGTGTATCTCGTATATGGAGACGACACTAAAACTCACGATACCCTAGACAAGGAAAGGGAATCTCTCTTTCCTTCTCTAAGGACAAAATACTCGGAAGCTGAACCGCGCAACCGCGGTCTACGTCAAACTCAGCTGATCTTTGCCGCTGATGGACTTTGTAAACAACGGCACTTTTATAAATATCAGAGTAAATATGGCCCTATTTAAAAACAAGGTTAAAAACTCAACAGCATTCCTGTATTTTTAAACAATACCAAAAATACTAAAAGCATTTAAAGAAGATTTACAATTTGTGAATGCGTTTTGGGGAACCAGCGATTCATATAACTAGTAAGAAAAGTTTAGAACTAGTTTAGAAAATTAATATTACAGACTGGATTATTTTTAATTTGTGTTGTTTCACTTAATTTTGTGAAAAACACTATAATAAGAAGAAACGTATTATTTGCCCACTGTGTACTTTAAATATGGTAGTCTATATAGTTTGTGGAAGTTGCAGTATATTGCAACAACATTTGAAGGTAAACACCATGAAGTAATAAATTGAAAATGGAAACACATAACTTTACCTATGACTTTGCTACAAAGGAAAGTTATAAACTGTGGTATGAAAAACAGAAGATCAAGATAAATTATGCATTCGCCAAGCCAAGAAAATATAATGACTGCGTGGAAAAAAACTTTCAATTATTATCGTAATCATAGTAAATCAGCCAGGTAGGTAAATAGAAATGAAAAAAAAACACTATGCCAAATAGTCTCTTTTTATTTTTAGGACACGTCAGCAATTATTGTTCTAAATGAACAGAGAAGGCCAGTAGTTCAATAAAAAGACCATATAATGAGCCATAAAAGGAAAATGGATAAGCAAGAATTATTCCCAACAAAGTGAAAGAGGTTATTGGTTTAAGGCTTTATTTATTTTGTTTTTGGTCTTACTTAAGTAAATATGTATTGACTGTTGGGGTAAGGGTTTTATATTTATTTTGTACTACTTACTACTAACCTGTACAATGTGGTATTGTTTATTGTTAAAATTATTGTATTGTATTGTTGTAATTATTGTATTTTCTTGACATAGAACAGCCATAAGTTTCTTGCAGTTTCTTTTTATAGGCCGTAATCGAAACTGCAACATTCTAATAAAAGTAGAACTATAAATTTGTTTTTTTATTTCTAATATGTTACAGTAATTAAGCTAACAAATTTTCCCAAAACGTTTATTTCCCCATGAAAATGTGATTCAATTTAAGAACTGATATTTTAATAAAAGATTTGAGAGTAGAATTTGAGAATAATGAGCTCTCTCCAAGTAAAGCTATGGTTCTCACTTATGCATCAAATTAGATAGTGATCATGAATCTGCAAATGAAACAATTTTTAATTTACACCAATAATCAATGCAACTTTGACTAAAATCACTTGATGTAGGCAATATATGTATATAACGAAATATCAGCCATATACATTAACCACCTTCCTTCTTTAAAATGAGCAAATAATGACAAATTACATTTCGTAACTTTAATGGCATTTGTATGTTTTATATGAATGCAGATCAGTTTTTAAATATAGCCATATTTCTAAAAATAGTCAAAAACTATAAAAAACAAAATGAACAACCAAAACAGTCAACTACTGTTAGCAATTTCGCATAATAAAATTATTGTCTGTGATTATTGTTCGATTCTCGATTATTCATAATGTTCAAAATTCCCGCAAAGCGCTTCTTGCCGAACAAAACCGAACTCTCCGTGTAGGATCCGAATGCTTCCGAGGTTTTCGTGAGTTTTAGTGTCGTCTCGTATATGGTAGAAGGATCAAACTAAACACATACTAAAAACTGGAGTGCTGTAAAATATCGACATCACACGATAGGTAAATAATGGATTTTAATACTGCAGAAAAATAATGTCAAAAGGTACTGGTTTAAAAATATTAAGATTAAACTTAATTAATCTTAATATTTTTAAACCAGTAATAGTTCTTTTTTATATTTTTTTGGTATGTAGTGTCTTGTTCTTGTTTGTTTTGTATTAACACATACCGTTTTTATTAAATAAAATAACTCGATTACATTTTTTCAGTTTTATACAGTTTTTTTCACAATATTTTGAAGTAATCACTTGTCATCTTGTCAATCAAATTTTAAATATTTCCTGTTATGCGTTCCAGTTGTGCCAACTTATTTCTTTGTAAAATAAAATAAACTACTTTGAAATTAAAATGACACATCTATCTCGGATCTTCTCGTTGGACAGATTTTACACCTGAACTCTCCGTATCATAGCCGGGTAGTTTTTTTTATTGACCGGGACGCTTCTTGTGTAGCGTGGAATGTTATTAACGCCATTGTTGATATAAATGTTAGAGCAAATACATTGAATAATATGATTAGTGCTTTATTTGACAAACATGCCCCGCTGCGCATTGTTAAGACCGCGCGCCGAAATCAGCCTTATACTTGTAATATTAAGAAAATGATAGGATTAAAAAGGAAGGCATTTCAAAGATATCTAAAAGACAAATCTCTTATTAAACGCCAGTACTATGTCGAACTGAGAAATTATATTAAAAATGATATTAAATGTGAAAAAAAGGCTTACTTTAAATTTATTGTAGATCAAAATATAAATAATGGTAAAAACTATGGCAGAATTTTTCAGAATGGGGGGTTCCTACAAAATCAAACATTGCTATTAATATATCTAAAGAACTAAGTGACCCTAATGCAATTAATAATTATTTCTTGACAGCTGCCGGATATTCAAAAATTGATCCTAATACGTTAAGCTACGATCAAAACAACAAACTGAACAATAATGTACATTTTAGTCTTAATTTAATTAATGAAACAGATATTTATACTAACCTAAGGGAAATAAAATCTAGTGCTTACGGTACCGACAATATCAATATAAAAATGCTAAACCTCGTATTGCCTCACTGCATAACTCATATCAAAAATATATTCAACAGCTCAATCATATCTGGTAAATTTCCTTCGGAAATCAGCTAATATTCTCCCTATACCTAAGGTATCGACGCCCGGTTCTTTTGATGCTTTGCGACCTATCAGGCTATATTACCGGCTATATCAAAAGTATTTGAAAAGATAATTTATAAACAAATTATAGAGTTTTTGGAGGCTAACAATATTTTTCCAATAGTCCAATCTGGATTTCGTGCTAAACATGAGACATCTACAGCTTTGCTTAAGATTGCAGATGATCTTTCTCGCGCCATGGATAGTTCTAAGTGTACAATGTTAGTTCTCTTGGATCAGAGTAAGGCATTCGATTCATCGGATGTGATACTGCTGCATTGTCTTGGTTTGAAGATTATCTAAATGATAGGACACAACGAGTAAAGCTGAATAGCTTAGAATTATCCAACTTTAGCGTGACACTGAATGAAGTGCCCCAGGGTAGCATCTTGGGCCCACTCTTATTTTTATTATACACATTTGATTTGCCATCAGCGATTTGTAAGTGTCAAATGCATGACGATGTACAGATATATCTGGAAACTGCCATTGAAGATGCTGGGGACTCCGTTACTATTTTGAACCGCGATTTGGCTGCTTACGAAACATGGTGTAGTAACCATGGACTAATAATAAATTCTAATAAAACTTATGCACTTTGTGTAGGTAATGCGAGGTGTATAAACTTTATTGTTTCCAATTTTGATTTATCTATTGGTGGTACTCTGATCCAATGGGTCGATGTTGCCAAGAACTTGGGAATTTACCTAGACAGCGGCCTGACTTTCGAACATCACTGTAATAAAGTATATAAACAAGCTATGTTTAAATTGAAAAGCATGTATAATCTAAAATTTTTGTTGGATGAAGCGACAAAACTTCACCTAATAAAGGTGCTGATATATCCACATTTCGACTATTGTAGTCAGATTTATTACAGTTTTTTTGCCAACTACAACCAAGTAGTAGGGTCGGATAGCTCTGAAAATCATAAAAATATTTCAGTTCTGGCGGCGAATTTGAATTTTTGGATATGGATAGTACATATACCAAGCATCAAAAAACACTCCAGACCCCAAAATTTTGGGGCCCCCACCACCGGTATGACGTCATTTGATTACGGTGAGCTTGTAGACGGTAAGAGGAGGCCGGGTGGACAACTCAAAAAGTTCAAGGATATTTTCCACGAAAACTTAAAGGGAATTAACAAGCAGAATGAGTGGGAAGCGGCAGCTCACAATAGAATGGAATGGAGAAGAATTGTAGAGTCAGTTAAGAGCGACAACCAAAAAGTAAAGAGGCAACAAAGCAATGAGATTTTTGAATGTCGGTAGTGCGGTAGACGGATAACATCACGTATCGGGCTTTTCAGTCACAGAAAAGCTCATGAAAGAAAACGCATTGCGTGACCATCTTCTGATGCGTGTCACATACTCGTCAGCGAGTAATGGCGGTATATGTATGACGTCATTAAAAAGGGGATCAAAAAACGGCTTTTGGGCATATAAATACTTTTTCTTCTTTGTAAAAACCCATTTTAATTTTATTTTTTATACTAAAACAACTTATTTGAAAATATTTTCAACTGTTTTTAATTATATGGCGGCCATCTTGTTATATAAATGTCAAAATTTTGACATTTTATCTGAAATTTCGTGTTTGATATTAATTTATAGGATTTTGGGGTCGACAAATTTAGTGATGATATTAAAATTTTAATACGATACATCTACAACTAGATGCTACCCCAAACAACCCTTCAAAATTTTTTTTATACATCCCTTCCCCAACACCCCCTATGCACCAATCTTTATACTAAAATACAAACTTCTGTTTATGTTAATAATATTTTATTTCATCAAACGTATAAGTTAACATTCTTAATAAAAATAACATTTTAATAAAATAAGTTAATACACTCTATTAATCGTTTTCAGAACAATGTCCTTCATATGCACATCATACAGCTGTGTACACCGAAGACCGTTTTTTACACATTTACATGCTGAACACCGTTGTTTTCAGCTACAAGCGATTAGTTCCTCACAGCTTTTTACAACATCTGGAATGGTAGACCACAATGGCTGAAATTCGTTGTTAGTTTTTTGCCATCCCCAATTATCAGGCAGTGGAGCTTGAAAGTTTTTTTCCAAGCAGTTGTTCCATATAAGGGTGACTGGCTCGCTTGATATGTTGAATCAAAGCATTTTGCGTTGGAGGTATATTCTCATCTGCCCTATTTTTTTATGAAAAGGAAACGTCTACGCTCGTTAACAGTACTCAAGGGTGATGTCGCATCATATAATAGAACCACAAATATTTCCATAGTACGCAAAATATCTTCATCTGGATCTCTTGCCATAAGCAGTTGTTCAAAAGCCGAATTAACATTAGGATCTGCTATCCAAACCTTCCAAGCTCCTATCTTGCCCACCCCACAGAATGATATCATACACAGTATCGCAACCTGCTATAAAATGAAATATTGGTAGATATCTGCAAATCTCTTGTGAAAGCTGGGAACATAAGCCATGGATGCTAATTAATCTTTGATGTTTCCCAGTTCCAAAAAACAGCAGTTATTTAGCTTTTTGACAAAACAGCTAACAAGCGAAACTTTTATTGGAAAAACAATAGTTTGTACGCTCGAAGAATCAGTAATATCTTCTTCAGCAGAATTGGATCTTTCAGATATTTTGCCATCGTGGCATGAAGAAGGAGTCGGTCGCCTTCTTCTGCATGCTAAACTTGCAGTCGATAATGGCCACAACTGCGTCACCATTCGAACGGTGGATTCAGATATTGTTGTCATTGCAGTGTCAGCATCTTTTAAAATTAAAAAGATTCAACAACTCTGGATTGATTTTGGAACTGGGAAACATCAAAGATTAATTAGTATCCATGGCTTATGTAAGGAGACTTGCAGATATCTACCAATATTTTATTCTAAAACAGGTTGCGATACTGTGTCATCATTCTGTGGGGTGAGCAAGAAAGGAGCTTGGAAGGTTTAGGACTTGCAATCGCTGCAAACAACGGTGTTCAGCATGTAAATGTGTATAAAACGGTCTTCGGTGTACACAGCTGTGTACATGTGAAGGACATTGTCCTAAGAACGATTAATGGAGTGTATTAACTTATTTTGTTAAAATGTTGTTAACTTATTTTTAATTCTTAAGTCGTTTTTATTCATACGTTTGATGAAATAAAATATTATGAACATAAATAGAAGTTTATATTTTAGTATAAAGGTTGGTGCATAGGGGGGTGTTGGGGAAGGGATGTATAAAAGAATAATTTTGAGGGGTTGTTTGGGGTAGCAACTAATTGTAGATGCATGGTATTAACATTTTAATATCATCACTAAATTTGTCGACCCTAAAAACCTATAAATTGATTTCAAACACGAAATTTCAGATAAAATGTCAAAATCTTGACATTTATATAACAAGATGGCCGCCATATAATTAAAAACAGTTGAAAATATTTTCAAATAAGTTGTTTTAGTATAAAAATAAAATTAAAATGGGTTTTTACAAAGAAAAAAAAAGTACTTATATGCCCAAAAGCCGATTTTTTTACCCCCGCTTTAATGACGTCATACCGGTGGTGGGGGGCCCCAAAATTTTGGGGTCTGGGGCGTTTTTTGATGCTTGGTATATGTACTACCCATATCCAAAAATTCAAATTCGCCGCCAGCACTGAAATATTTTTATGCTATCCGACCCCACTAAAGCAAAAATACAGAGAGTACAAAATGCATCGGTAAGATTTGTTTGTGATTTACAATATAGAGAGCACGTAACTCCTCACCTAATTAAATGGAATGAGCCTAGACTCTTTTTACATTTTCAATACCTTTATATTATGTTATTATATAAAGTCTATACATACAAACTTCCTCCATATTTATACAATTTACTTATAAAAAGATCAGAAATCCATAGTAGAGATATTAGATTAAATACTTTTACAGTCCCGCGGGATTCTAGTTCAAAATTTAAATGTAGTTTTTCCTATAAGGCACCTTTATTGTTAAAAGTCTATTTCACCCGGATATTCATTTAACTGCGCATGCCTTACCTGAAGAAGTTTTCATTGGTCAATGTTTTTAGAGGGAAGTTGTTGACTGACATTTCACCTAACCTTCAATTTTATTTATATTTTTATTATTTATAACACATTATCATGGAGTTGGAAAAATATCAAAAAATAGTTGAAAACAATAAACTAAACAAAATCACTCTTTTACGCGCACAAATAAAAAGTAATCCAAACAGAACTAAAACAACAATCAATCGGAGTTTGGCGCAATCGCAGGACATACTATCCCTAACTAACTAATGCTAAAGAATAATATTCTTTGCTAATACCAACTAATACAAATATATGGCAACAGCGCCCTTTATAATATATTTTCTGTGTAAATACTAGCACCTCAATAACTCAATAAAAAAAATAATGTGTCCTTATCTTTATTTGACTCCCCAAAAATAAAAGATGCCGGCTTCTTTCATAGCATTGCCACCGACTGCTGTCGGGTTTCTAGGAAAGAAACCTACGTCGCCGGACGACAACTAAAATCCAGTTTATATTTTATTAAAATCGATCCTGACGAATTAATGAATTTGATAAATGAATGAATTTTATAAATGAATGGTTTTTGCTGCCGAATTACTAGAATACAATATTGCAAGGCAGATGACGCATCTATTCGATAATTTTTATTCGAATAGTTTTCGACGAATGTTTTCTTACTAGCTATCGAATTATTCGAATGAATTGCAACTATCGAATGTTTCGATAGTATTCATTCGATAGTTCCCACTACTATAATTTATCTATTATGTATAATAACAGGGTTATAATTATGATTTTTTTACAAAAACCTTTGTATAAATAATTATGTAATAGAAAAAATTCAGATTTTGCATTTTACAAACTATTATCTAAATAAGCGCCTTTCTACAACAACGCCACTGACTCTCAGTTGGTAAATTGAGAGTTGCCTTTAGTACATCTATGGAATATTAAAACCTACTTTATTAAAATGTAATATTAATATCTCAACATATGTGTAAATAAGAAAAAAATATTGATAATATTAAAGACGTGACAACTTAGGCTGGAGAAGGAAGACTCGGTCGGCTGAAGTAAACATATATACAAAAACGATTGTTTGACCGCGTTTAGATGTAAATAGTGTAGTCTATATTTTATTTTAAGTCTATGCCCTGTATACTCCTCTATATTTTTTATATTTGTAATATTTTTGTATCTCCTTTTTTTTATACTGAGTTTGGATACAAGTAAATAAGTAGTGTTAGTATATTTCTTTGTTTTCAGTGGAGGAACAGGATCTGTTGAAGCAATATGAGAACAATTCGGATAAAAAAATAGAGGTCTTACAAAAGTTTATGATAGAACAAAAAGAAGAACTTAAGAAATTTGATATGAAATTGGTTTTGGAATTGGATAAAAAGGTAAGAGATCCGAAATATACCTAAGGTTTCTTTGTCAAACTAAAAAGAAATGTCATTGTGATCTTTAAATATATTTATAGTCTGTCAAGCGAAAGAATACATGACAATGAAAGTATTCTGTCATTTAAATTGAAGAGTGTTTTTTTTTGAAGCGAATATTCTTTACGCGCGATGGGAGTAAAAATTCAAGGCCGTGTCGTGTCACGGTCTAATAACAAAAACAAGAAACGGATAGATATATCTATATTTCAAGAATATCTAAAATAACAGGTTGAAAAATGCCATTACGAAAAAAAATATATTATACAGGGTGGTCCGAACTGTATTCCGGAAACTTCGAAAAACTATATATATATATATATATATATATATATATATATATATATATATATATATATATAGTTTTTTCGAAGTTTCCGGAATACAATTCTGACCACCCTGTATAATATATATTTTTTTTTTCGTAATGGCATTTTTTCAACCTGTTATTTTAGATATTAGATATATATATATATATATATATATATATATATATATATATATATATATATATATATATATATATATACACATATATATATATATATATATATATATATATATATATATATATATATATATATATATATATATATATATATATATATATATATAAATTTGGGTCAGAACGTCCACCCTGTGCGATTTTCCCATTGATCTTCGGTCAATTTTTCTCGCTCATCGACCTTCTTATTCCTTCCATCCATGTTTTCTTGGGACGTCCTCTCTTTCGTTTACCAGGTGGTATCCAATGAATGACTTGTTTTGGAATTCTTTCATTGTGCATTCTCTGAACGTGGCCGTACCATATTAATTGTTTTTGTTCTATATTATTTACTATTGTTCCCTCTATTTCCATCTGTTGTCTAATGTCTTCATTTCTGATCTTATCCCTCCGTGAAATTCTCATTGCTCTTCTAATCGCGTCCATTTCTTTGTCTCTAATTTCCTTTTATTCCTTTCAGTGAGTCGCCATGTTTCACATCCATAGAGTAATATGCTTTTAACTAGTGTCTCGTATATATTATATTTCCTGTTTTTTGTAATTTCAGTGCTCCATAGAATGCCATTTATGCATCTGATAACTCTTCTTGCCTGTATTACTCTGTTGTTTATTTCTCTATCGTCCGTTCTATCTCCTGTAAATATCGATCCCAGGTACCTGTAATCTTCACATGCCCTAATTTCTATATTATTGTCTAAAATAAGATTTTCTGTATTAGCTCCAATTGGAAGGTATTTTGTTTTTTCTGTATTTACTGTGAGACCCCATTTAGCATATTCTTCAATTATTTTCCGTACCATATATTCCATGTCATCTTTGTCGTTTGCAATTATGGCCTGGTCGTCTGCAAATTGCAAGGTGTATAGGCATATGTCATTTAGTTCTATACCCATTCCGTTACATTTTCTTTTCCATAGATGTAAGGCCTTGGCAATATAAATTTTAAATAGTGTTGGGGATATACAGCAACCCTGTCGGAGCTCTTTAGTGATAGAAATTTCCTCTGAGAGACCGTTGACCGTTTTTATTTGTGATTTTCCTCCATGGTAAAGATTTTGTACAGCTTTTATCAGAACTGCGTTAATTCTTGATTCGTGCAATACTTCCCATAATTTTATTATTGGCACTGTATCATATGCTTTTTTTAGATTGATGAATGTTATATGAACTTCCTGGTTCATTGCAGATTTCTTCTCGATGATCTGTTTCAATGCAAAGATATTATCTGTACATGATCTTCCGCTTCTGAAACCATTCTGCTCTTCTTCTTCGTAGCTGGAGTATTCCTCTGAGGCAAATAAAAATAAGTAAAAAAGTTCGTATAAACGTATGTCTTAAAATGCTTAGTTTCGGAGATACAGGGTGTTGAAGTTTCATTTTTATTTCGATTTTTTCCAAATAATTTCTGAAGTAACATCAATACTTGAATGAAAATTAGTGTCTGGGAGTTTTTTGACATGAGAAATTTGATTTTCATGTCAATATGACACCTATTTGTAGGGGGCGCCACCTACATGTGTTTTAATTGTTTTGAAGTGTAATAACTTTTTGTTCGTACCTGTATAGAAGTACTGAGTAAAAAAATATACATTTCTGTGACTTTTTACGTAAAAAATGTCTCTTGGTAAAAATCGCTACGAGTAACCCTTCTCAAGATATTTAGAATGGAAATAGTCAATACATGTCATTTTTGACAAAAAATGAACACGTTGAGTAGACAGTTATTTCACAGAAATAATAAATTCGGGAAATTTTTATTTTTTAAATTAATCATAATTTTTTTGCGAAGAAATTATGATAAAACAGTTTCTGTTGAACTTTTGGCACAAAACATTTTAAATTTATGATTTCAGTCTAATAAGTATTTACTCAACATGTTTAATTTCTGTCAATGATGAAAAGTATTGATAATTTCGATTCTAAATATCTCGAAAACCATTACTCCTAACGATTTTTTCCAAGAGACCTTTTTTACGTAAAAAATGTAAATGTATATTTTTTTACTCGTTAGTTTTATACAGGTAAGGACTAAAAGTTATTGCTCTTCAAACCAGTTAAAAAATATGTAGGTGGCGCCCTCTACAAGTAGGAGTCATATTGACATCAAAATCAAATTTCTCATGTCAAAAAACTCCCAGACACCAATTTCCATCCAAATATTTACGTTGCTTCATAAATTATTTGGAAAAAATCGAAATAAAAATGAAATTTCTACACCCTGTATCTCCGAAACTAAGCATTTTAGGGCATACATTTATACGAACTTTTTTACTTATTTTTATCTGCAGAATATGCTGCTGAAGTTTCCGGAATACAGTTCGGACCACTCTGTATATTAGAGTTCAAAATAGTGCGCGGGCAGGTGACAGCGTCCAGCGATGAAGTCGACGAATCAGATCGTTTTATTTGGGGTGTGCGCATAAAAATGAATGAACGAATGTGTTGAACCTATGGTAACATATCGGGTTCTGCCTTAGTATCACAGAAATATATGATTTTTACCATAAGGAGTTAGGAGTTTGCTGCCATTTGATACTGTCACAAAATTTTTAAATTTTTGAAAAAAATAATCTTGAATATATCAGTTGAAGTAGTTCCCACAGATACTTTGCAATATGTATACTAAACTATTTCCAGATTTTTATAAGACATGTTTTTTTAATTTCAGGTTGCAGATCAGCAAAACATTTTAGAACAAGCTGGCGTACCTGGTTTTTATTACACAACCAGTCCAGTAGAAATAAAATTACAGATGTATTTATTAGATTTTCTCTTACGTCTTAGCCAGCAGGAAGTTCCACTGTAATATATCATCAATTAATACTATACCGGGTGCGTCTCAAAAGTGGCTCACCCCTATAACTTTTTTATTTTTAGCCGACCATACCAATAGGTATGGTAGGCTATTAGGATCGGCAAAAAAAAAGTTTTTTTAATTTCAGTCAAAATGAGTTATTTGGGTCATAAATGACCTAAATACAAAATATTTTCATGGTGTCTGTCTGTCTGTCTGTCTGCCGTCTGTAACACGATAACTCAAAAACCGCTGAACCGATTTTAACCAAATTTGGCACAAAAATACTGTGGCACCCGAGAATCTGGCCATTAGGTTTTGGTGGGAGTGGGGGGTTGGTAAGGGGGTATGGGAGGGGGTTAAAAAATCGTAACTCCAAAATTACAGTAGCTAGCGAAACGCGGTTTTCAAATTAAGATTAGGAATAATATTTGCAACAAAATTTGTAATAATATCAAAATCAGTCAAAGTCGCAGTTTTCGAGATATTAACATATTTTAGTATGGGCGGCTATACGTGCCTCCCGGCGCCAGTTTTTTTCAGATAAAACAAAGAGATTTGGTATGTTAGTATATGATATAAATTGTGATTGTGATTGACGTATGCAATTGTTTTCGGTCACTTCCGGTTTCACCGGAAATGACTACAACTTTTGATTTTTAAATGGCACCTTCGGTATTTTTTTACTTTATTCGATAGAAAATGACACTCTGAATCGAATGATATATCATATGTCAATTTTTGACATAGCCACTGAAAAACAAATTCTATTTTAAATTTCAATTTAGAGTGCCATGGCTGTGTTAAAAACACTAATTTTTAATCAACGAGCCATTGAAAAATAGATTTGATCGTCTAATGTTTTTAGTGTCTTGTCCTGGCCGGTTAAAAGATGCCCAAATCGTATTTTTAATCATATTTCAATTTTTTCAAATGAAACGAGGGTGGCTCATTAGCATATTTGGAAAAAGCATTTTTTTACGAATAATTTGATACCACACATTTGGTATTTTGAGTCAAATTGTCGTTATGAACCACATGTTACAATTTCAAATAAACCATATGCCAAAATGTTAAAAGTTGACATATGATATGTCATTCGATTCAGAGTGTCATTTTCTATCGAATAAAGTAAAAAAATACTGAAGGTGCCATTTAAAAATCAAAAGTTGTAGTCATTTCCGCTGAAACCAGAAGTGACTGGAAAGAATTGAATACGTCAATCAATCCTAATTTAAGTCATATACTAACATACCAAATATCGTTTTTTTATCTGAAAAAATAAAAAAGTTATAGGGGTGAGCCACTTTTGAGACGCACCCGGTATAATGTATTATTGACTTGAATAGGGCAATTTTTACAGGGTACGGCAATAGTGTGTCGAGCTCCTAAAATAAAAAACTTTGGAATTGGTTTAAGTGTAGACCTAAAGTATGAATTAGGGTGTATTTCAGAAAAATATTTTAAGATCTACAGTGTTGCTCAAAAAAATGTGAGTGGATCTGGATAATCTTTTTTTAATGAAACGCCCTGTATATATTGCATTTTTGGTTTCCTCTCTGATCACATTATCCACATAATTATAAAATATTATTAAATATCGTTTGATAGTTTAAGAGATATTAATAACTGAATAAAAAATATTTTTTTTTGGTCCATTTTTAAAAAAAGTTATTAAAAATATAAGAGAAATGCCCTGAAATCAAAACTATACTAGGTATTTACTATAGTTGATCTGTAATTACTTTGCTATAAATATCGTAATGTACACGCCTTACAGGGTGTTCAATATTCTATACCAAAAACTTTGTAAATTATTAAATAATTTTTCTTGTTTTTTTAACGGAACACCCTGTATATCTTTGCTAGATGGAGAATTAAAAAATGAACATTTTTTGTATTTAAAAGTATTTCAAAATTTTTAACGGTTTTGCGGATATTCGTAATATTATATTGCATATGGCATTACATTTTTGTCTGGTATTTTACCGTTGAAAGATATGTAATAAAATTATATAAATAAAAATGCGAATATTTGCGAAACTACTAAAAATTTAAAAATACCTTACATACAAAAAATGTTAATACATACAAAAAATGTTAATTCTCCATATAACAAAGATATAATATACAGGGTGTTCCATTTTAAAAACAAGAAAAATTATTTTATATCTTAGAAAGGGGGGAAAAATCTTATTTTTTATGTTATTTCTAAAAACTAAGAAATAGTGATTCTAGTTTATTCTTGGTGTTGTATGTACAATTTATTCATGTTTGTAACTTATTTTGAGCCTGACAAAGTTGCAAAAAATTGACACAATGGATATTGGATTTGTTCGTAAGGCGATAAGTATAGTCTGCCCAATGACAGGATCCCTGACAGTGACAGTTGTGTCTGTCATTTTAATTCACAAGCAAATTGTATGTTATATCATATTTTGTCAAATTCTTCCCTGATTCGTTACACAGACTATAGTTAACTCTCTGGCGAGAAAGTTTATTTGCATCGTGTTTGAGAATTTATTTAGTTATTCCTTTTGGTTTATGTTATATTTTTCATTTTTACCTTAATTAAAGTAATGATAATGATGGGGAAACTTGTTTATTTTAACTATGAAGGTAACTTTGTACTTTAGATTAATGTAATAGTACAAAATGGTGTACTTCTGAACTTAACTCTGATACAAATATTTAGGTACTAAGAATGTTACAAAATGGTCGATATTTTAAAGTTGCGTTTAATTTTTATACATAACTTTAAAATGTTTATGTATTATAATATATAAGGTGTATAAAATTAATATTTTTTAGAATATATAGTTTGAATAATATATTGATTTTTTTAGTAAGAGCTTTTTATTTCAGTTTAATTATTTCTTTTTTTCTTTAACCGTTAGTTTATAATCTATATAGTTTTTTTTCTTTCTTGGGTATGAGGTTTTATAATAGGGTTGGCATGATATATATAAAATAACTAAAATATGTCAAGATGCTGAAGCGTTGTGGATAGAGGTAAAGCTACCAATGGTGTGTATTCTATTAGATTGTATATATAAACCACCTTCCACTAATACTAATGAATTTCTAAATTACTTTGAAGATGAGCTAATAGATCTTTTACCAAAATATGATACTGTGATTTGCATGGGCGACTTTAATATTGAGTTGTTTGATACTAGTAATACAGTAGTGTCATCTTATAATAATATTTTAGAAAGCGCTACTCTTAATCAAATTATCAACGAGCCTACTAGAATTTCAAAAACAGGAATTTCGTTAATAAATCATATAATAGTATCCAATCATATTAAAGTGGCTAGATCAGGTACAGAGTCTCTCGATTTATCCGATCATGAAATGGTGTTCGCTATATTTGAATTTTTAACTAAAATTAATAAACCTAGGCCATGCCAGTTCAGAAGCTTGAAAAATATTAATATCCAATTGTTGACTGATCATTTGTGTTCCATACCATGGCGTAATATGTATGATTATAGAGATGTAGATGAAATGGTGGCATTTTTTAATGAAAATTTAACAATTTTAATGGATATTCATGCTCCTTTAAAAGTCATTAATTTTAACAAACATTATAGGCCATGGATAACAGAAAATATAAAAACGCTTATTAAAATAAGAAATAAGGCCAAAACTAAATATAATAGAACTAAACTTATAGGCGATTATGAATCTTATAAAACGTTACGTAATTTTGTTACTAAAATTATTAATAAAGAAAAACGGATATATCTGCAAAGATCTTCTGGCAATGGTAAAGATATATGGAAGTTTCTTAAAACTCTTAACGCAGTAAAAAGAAAAAGTCGCGTTAGCATTCCTGAACATCTTTCTAATGTTGAAAATATTAATTCTGTTACGTTTTTCGTCGGTTCCGTGTGGACAGAAAGTCACAATTTATTTAAACACTATTTATTTAACACTAATTAACAAAAATAATAACGATAAAAGACTTATAGAACTATTTACAAACGATTTATAACTAAGAATTTATTTTGAATTTTAGCGCGTCAACTGTATATTTTACTAACTGCCCTCTCTAGGCCACTGCCGCCGGCTTTATACCGACAGGTAAAAGAAATCTAGAATAGTCCAAAGATCGTTAGGCGCATAGAAGGTTTTCGAATGTTCTCGTATGTACGAGTCCATTCTAGTGGGTCTCGATTCTTCTCGAACGAATGAATCATTGCGGTGTCTATGCGATGTTAAGGTCATCCGAGGGCGGGCCATATTGTGAGGTTAGGTCGAGTCCACACCGGCTCACAACACTGCCCCCTTCTTAGGCACATGCTCGTCCCGAGATGTATACGGTGAATGAAGGTATTTGCAAAGCTGGCCCCTGGTACATTGCGAAGTCTGGTAGAAATAGCAGTCTACAGTTTTCTCTCCCGATCTCAGCTTTGGGTTGTAGCAGCAAACGAGGATCTCGATTCCCGTAAATCTGAACAAGACTTCAATCATGTTCCGGATTGTACGCCAACTCAAACCATCGAGTCCACACGCCAGCTTCGGAATGGCTAATCGTGCAATGTTGTTGTTTAGCAGGGCTTCTCTCAGTTCAATCAGGGTCTTCCATAGATTGAGATAAGTCGGCTTACTCGGGGACCATTCCTTGGTGACCAGGTAGAAGATGTGCCTTGCTTGACCATGTGCATTGTCGGTTAGCCTCAAGACGCTTCCAACCTCTGGATCCTGTCGGCGTAGTTCTCCGACACGCCCAAACTTCTCATTGAACGTCGCAGCGATTCCTCTGGACATCCGCAAATCTCGAGCCACACAATGAGCGAGCGAATAATCAGGAGGCACGGAAAAGAGGTCTCGTTGATCTTCTTTGGTTACACCATAGCGAGCCTTCTCACTGCTGTTGTATCGGGCCATGAAATCGTCAAAGGACATCTCCGAATCAGGGGGATCAAAGCTGCAGGTTCTCACGGTCCCAGCACGATCTTCTATTTCGCCTTGGTAGGGGCTCAAACGGTTGAAATGGACTACCCTCGGTTTTCCTTTTGGCAATTTTCTGATACGGTATACGACGTCATTAATTCTATCCATGACTTCGTATGGCCCTTCCCACGAGGATTGTAGCTTCGGAGATAACCCACGACGTCTCTGCGGGTTATATAGCCACACCAACTTCCCTGGTTGGTATCCTCCATGCTCAGCTTGAATGTCGTAGTGTTCCTTCATTCGGTCACTAGCACTTTGAATATTTAGGCGGACTCTCTGATGAATGTCGTCCATCCTTTGACGTAGTGTGTGGACATAATCTTCTCCGGCGACTTCTTCTCCCGGTCGGCAACCAAATTTCAGATCACAGGGTAGGCGCACTTCCCGTCCCATAACGATGCTGGCTGGAGTTTGCCCTGTAGATTCTTGGACGGATGAACGGTAGGCCAACAGGAACAGGTGAAGAAATTTGTCCCAGTCTCTTTGGTGGTCAGAGACTACTTTGGCCAGATAACGGTTGATAGTTCTGTTCATGCGTTCAACCATCCCATCGGATTGTGGATGTAGAGCAGTCGTCCTGGTCTTGCGGATGTTCAGGACTTCACAGACGCCTTGGAACAGATTGGACTCAAAGTTTCTTCCCTGATCTGAATGAAGCTCCATGGGAACACCAAACCTGCAGATCCATTCTTTAACAAGGGCATCAGCAATCGTGGACGCTTCTTGATTTGGCAACGCGTAGGCCTCGACCCATTTGCTGAAGTAATCCATTACTACCACAATGTATTTGTTGCCATCGTTCGTCTCCGGGAAAGGACCAGCCACGTCGATCGCTATTCGTTCGAAGGGACTACCAACATTGTACTGGCGCATAGGGGCTTTACCACGCTTTTGTGGCCCATTAATGGCTGCGCAAATGTCACATTTCTTACACCAGGCCCTCACATCTTCTTTGCAGTTCACCCAGTAGAACCGTTCACGCAGCTTGCCAAGTGTCTTGGTAACACCAAGATGTCACCGCTGGTTCCATTGTGAACTTCCGCCAAGACTTCCGGGACCCTCTTCTTTGGAATGACGATCTGCCTTCTCTCTTCTTGTCCCTCTGGTCTCACAATCACACGGCGAAGTAATCCGTTATCTATTACCAATGAATTCCACTGGGACCAGTACGACTTCACGTTCGGCGAATATCTGCAAACTTCCTCCCACGTTGGTCTCTGGTCCGCGTTTTTCCAGTTAATCACCAAGCCCAACTCTGGATCACTGATTTGGTCATTTGCAAGATCTTCGGTTTGCCAACTATCACCAACCACAGTCGTCCTTAAGACTTTCACTTCTTTCTCTTCTTTGCAACGATTTCCCATCTGTCCGCAATTCCAACAGCGAATCGGTCCCCCCTTCTTACTCATATACTGATCCAGTACTTTCCGCACAATCCTTTCCACTTTGGAATCGTCGGAACTCTCCTCAACAGCCCGTACAAATCCTAGAGACCTAGAGCATTCTTTCGCGGCCTCAAATTCCAGGGCACGTGCTAGGGCATCTCCCAAATGCGTTGGATGAGCTAAAAGAAGTGTTTGCCTTGTCTCGTTGTCACATAAACCATCAATAAAAGCCTGTACTTTTAAGCGCTCCATAACATTTTCGGGCATAGCAGGGTACGCAAGGCGAACGAGGCGGGCTACGTCGGCTTCAAACTCCTGCAGAGACTCATTTGACTTTTGAATGCGATTTTTTAGCTGGGAATGATAGACATGTTCCA